CTTTAGCTTTCCTTCTTTAAACCACTGACTCAGCTGTAGAATGCCAGGTTCAAATTTATCCTTATAATTTAATACCATAAATCTCTCCCTGTAGTGAGAAAGAAAGGACAATGGTCAGAGAATATGACAGGAGAGTCAAGTTCAAATCATTCTAGAAGTCTAGCATGTGTTCATCCTAAAAATCCTACAGATCTGAGATTTAATTACACTGAGTCTGGTCAGATATAGTTTTAGGTATAGTTACAAATGTAAGTATAGTAGATTTCTGTTTATGTCTGCCCAGTGTCAAAAACCCCATTTGGCTATACTGTACTGTGGTATTTTTTTCCTTTGTAAATTACACCCTCTTTCCACCTTTACCTGATCTGACCCAGCCAGTCAAAGCCAGTAAGTATCCTTTTCAGGGTGCCAGTCAGTCAAAACCTAAATACTGAACCAGTTTAAAAGCAAATGCTGGGGCTGGAGAGATGGCTCAGTGGTCTAAAGCACCTACTTGGGCAAATGCAGCCAGGCACAGGGGACCATGCGTCTTGATCCCCAGCTTTACATGCCAAACCAGGCCCCCCTTAAGGCAGCCTGAGCCAGCCAAAAGTAAATAAATAAATAAAAGCATATGCTTTCTGTAAATAAGGACCAAAATGTGTTATGAGTATTACAAAATAAAAAAATCTTGAAATGGGGAGGGGAATGAGTGAAAAGGAAAGGGGAAAGGAAAGAAGGGAAAAGTAAAAAAAAAAAAAAACGAGAGGAAAAAGTGGAAGCAAAGCTTTTCTAAATGGATGGGGAGGAGGGATTGAAAGAAGGGGAGGGGGATGGGGAAAAAATCAAGTTATCATGTACAGATAAAAATTCTCTATAATGAATGAGATCATTATGCATATCTAAAATGTGCCAATAAAATCTGATTAAAAATTAAAAAAAAAAAAAAAGAGTTCCTGGCCAGTCTGGGCTATATAGTGAGACCCTGTCTCAAATAATAAAATTTTTTAAAAAGTATGTATTTTCAAGTTTTCCTTAACGAGGAAAATCTGTACTTGAAGGACAGAACATTCCATGTATGCGTATGAAATGAAAGCTCCTGGAATCTGGCGGAAGGGCAAGGGAAGGCAGGTACCTCGTGATGTTCCTGGCCTTCTGGACTGCCTCTACAGCGGGCGGGAGCGGGGGAGGGTAAGGCACATCTTTGTTGTACTGAGAAATCTGACCACACAGGATGATGTGGCTGTTCTGATTCATCTGTAGAGAAAAACAGCGTTATACTCTAAGACAGATAGCGTTCCTGTTTGCTGGTTTTATGGCTGTCTCAGAGACAGACTCCTTGACCATCATATTTAATCCTTTATTGACCTTTACTGAGTTTGTTTCGAAGATTTATCCATTAGGTGTAAGTTTTAATTAGATAGCTATAAGTCTGTTCCAAAGGAATATAAAGGCAAATGAAAAGTTTAGTACTCAAAAAAAGAATTACATTTAGTTGTCATTGTTACTTTTATTGTTACTAATAGTGTATTTATTTATTTAGGTTTTTTGAGATGGTTTCACTAGGTAGTTTCAAGCTGGCCTTGAACTCCCAGTGATCCTTTGGCCTCAGCCTCCCAAGTTCTGGGATTATAGGCATGTGCCACCATGCCTGGCAATGGATGTAAATAATAAAACCTCAATTGCAGATTATCTTACATATAGGAAAGCAATATGTAGTTGTTAATAGCTCATGTTGATATTTTATGACATTTCAATAAAAATACATAGATACACAGACCAGGATAACTCATTTTCTATCCACAGAAAGGGACTATGGCTGTGAGTTGGTTAATGGCAAGTTAGGGGTCAGAACTTTTCTTTTCTTTTCTTTTCTTTCTTTCTTTCTTTCTTTCTTTCTTTCTTTCTTTCTTTCTTTCTTTCTTTCTTTCTTTCTTTCTGTTAGGGGTCAGAACTTGTTTTCTTTTCTTCTTTCTTTCTTTCTTTCTTCGGAACCAGGAATTGAACTCAGGCCCCTATGCTTGCCAGGGAAGCACTTATTTCACTGAGCCATCTCCCTGGCCCCTGTTTTTAATTTTGGTATGAAGAATTGAACTCAGGACCTTGTACTTGTCTGGCAGGTGCTGTGCTACTGAGCTATATCCCTGGCACAGAACTTTCATATTCTAATTAATTAATTAATTTTCTTTCTGGTAAAAACAATCAAACTTAGGGCCTTGCACTTGCCAGGCAGGCACTTTAGCTGCTAAGTTATTTCCCTGGCCCAAATGTTAGTATTTTAAAAATGCATCTTCAATTTTTTTTTTTTTTAAGAAACTGAAGCAGGTCTCTCAACTTGCCTAACACAGCTACATTCCCCAGACTTCTCTATTTTGAGACAGGAATTCACTGAGTTGCCCATGCAGACCTTGAATGTGTGTTCATTCTGAGAAATTACAGCTACCACAGTGCCATTTTTCACAAAAAATAAATTAGGGTGAATATATAATGCTGGGTAAGAGCTGATCCTGAGACTCACTGTTCAAGTTTGTGCACAAATGAAGGTGTCAGCAAGCTCTTTCTTATCATTTAAATATGACAGTAAGTACAATAAATCCCACAATTTTTCCTTTCCCTTCAGCGTCAGGTAAAAGATGGCCAAACAAATAAGATGATGCACTCAAATCTATAAGAAAGAAATCAGAGACTAGGCATGGTGGCACGCGCCTATAATCCTAGCTCTTGGGAGGCTGTAAACAGGCGGATCACTACAGGTCTGATCTAGTAGAGAGACCCTGAACAACCTGTAGACCCTTCTCTAAAATACAAAAAACAAAAAGAGAGAGAGAGAAAAAAGAAAAGAAATCAGCAAACACCTGGCTTATCACTGTATCGCTGATACCACCGCCAACGTTGTCAAAGTAAACATCTACTCCAGCTGGGCATGATTCTCGAAGCTGTTCTGCCACGTTCCCTTTCTTATAATTAACTGCAGCATCAAAGCCCAGTTCAGAAGTCAAAAAGAGGCACTTCTCGTGTGTTCCACATATTCCCACCACTCTGGAACAGCCCAGCAAACGGCCAATCTAGGAGGAAAATTGTTTCAATTAAATGGTTTATGTCATCACATTTAAATAAAAAACTGCAAACTGCAAGGTATTACAATAGTTGAGACCACCCACCACAGGCAGGGTGGATTACACTGGTTTTACCTAAAAGAAATTTGAAGCCTAGAGAGAAATGAGGGCACACAGCGTCAACATTAAGAAACTGAAAACTAAATAAAATCCGACTCAGTACAGAATTCATGATTTAGGCCTGATTTTACACAAGAAACAAACTCCAAACACCATACCTTCCAATTCAGTATTTTTAAGGCCTGCATGGATCAAAATAAAATTATTTTATTTCAATAGCTTCTGTAGTATAACTATTATTCATAAGATAATTCACTTTGTAAAGTTCTATCAAAATACAACTGCAGGGGCCAGGGAGATGGCTCAGTGGAATAAGCACTTGCCTGGCAAGCGCAAGGGCCTGAGTTCAATCCCCGGTTCCACCAAAAAACAAAAAAAAAAACAAACAAAAACACCTGCATTTCTAGAATTTTTTTTTCTTTAGTTTAAAAGTAGAGGGGGGCTGGGGAGATGGCTCAGTAGAATAAGTGCTTACCTGGCAAGTGCAAGGGCCTGAGTTCAATCCCTAGTTCTGCCAAAAAATTAAAAAATTAAAAAATAAACTTTATTATTTTATTTTATGCAGGAACCAGGGATTGAACTCAGGTCCTTATTCTACTGAGCCATCTCCCGGCTCCCTCCAAAAATAGACTTTTTTTAAAAAAAAAGTACTAGGAATTGAACCTAGTGCCCTGCACTGAGTTGTATTTTTTTTTTTTAAGGTTCAGGGGATCAAACTTGGGACCTTGCGCTTACCAGGGAGGTGCTTAAGCCTCTATCTCCCCAACTCAGCCCTTGATTTTCTTTTTCTTTTTTAATTTTATTTATTTATGTGTGTGTGTGGGGGGGGGGCCAGCTCAGCCCACCAGGGGGCGGGACTGACTGGCATGTGGTGCTGGGGGATTGAACCGCGGTCCCGGTCCCTGTGCTTTGCTAAGCTTGTTCCAAGTAGGTGCTTTAGACCACTGAGCCATCTCACCAGCCCTTTCTGCCTCAGCTTCCCAGAGTGTAAGTGTGGGCTGCTATGCCTAATAAATGCTTTCTTACTTGAGGATATTGCTTTAAAATAGGAATCTGTGCCTCGCATGATGGCGCATACCTGTAATCCCAGCGCTTGGAGGCTGAGGCTGGAGGATCATCCTGAGTTCAAGGCCAGTTTGGGCTATATAGTGAGCTCAATGTAGCTGAACTACATTACAAAACCTTGGTCAAAAAACCCCAAAATAAATACAAAAGAGTCTGTGCTTATGGGGAGGGGCTGCAGCCTCATATGTGTTTGCACAGGTGCACAGGCTATACAATTAGCTACACCCTCTGCCACTTGTTAGCTTTTTACTCATATGGAATTCCAGACAGACCTCTATGATTTGCATCCTTACATGGATGACAGCAATGCTCCAGTTTTTACCATATTTATTTCTGGCATCAGAAAATGAAACACAAAATTCTATATTATTCATATTATTTTTTTTTCTTCATATTATTATTAAGAGTTCAATGGGGCTGGGGAAATAGCTTAGCAGTCTAAGTGCCTGCCGGGCAAGCACAAGGACCCGGGTTTGATCCCCAGTACCTCATGCCAAGACAGCCTCAGAAACCAGGTGTGGTGGTACACACCGGTAATCCCAGCGCTGGGGAGGCTGGGACAGGAGGATGACTATGAGTCCGAACTTCACAGCAAGACCCTATACCAAATTTTAAAAAAAGAGTCCAGGGCAAACGTTCTGTGAAGAGTGCCGCGACGGCGTGGGCGCGGCCCCTTTAAGGCGGAAGAATTGGTCCTCGTGCAGCATGCCTTCCTAGCCAGGGGAGGTCACATGGCTTCACACGTCCGAGTGGCGCGAGAGCCCGAGTCCCGGGGTTGCACGCGCTTGGGCGTCGAACTCCGCGGTCCCGCGGCTGTGAGGTGGGGCTGAGAGGTGGATTCGTCCGCGGGCGGAGAGCCCGTGAGGCGGTGGCGCCCCCTAGGCTTGCTGGTGTGACCCGGTGAGACGCATGCATGTGGCCCCAGCGTCGCTGTGCCAGCATTTTCCTCAGACCGGGCAGCGGTCAGGAAGAAGAAACAGGAAGGATAAAAGATTGCTGGGACAATCAGGAAGTTCCTGCACTCTCCACATGTAGCAACTCCAGTATCTTTCGAAGGATAAATGCCATATTGGACAATTCTCTGGATTTCAGTAGAGTCTGTACTACACCAGTAAATCGAGGAATGCATGATCATTTACCAGACTTCCAGGATTCTGAAGAAACAGTTGCAAGCAAGATGCTTTTCCCCACCTCTGCGCAAGAATCTTCTCGTGGCCTCCCAGATGCAAATGACTTGTGCCTTGGCCTGCAGTCCCTCAGCTTGACGGGCTGGGACCGACCCTGGAGCACCCAGGACTCAGACTCCTCAGCCCAGAGCAGCACACATTCAGTACTGAGCATGCTGCATAACCCACTGGGAAATGTCCTAGGAAACCCCTCCTTGAGCTTTCTGCCTTTGGATCCACTTGGGTCTGATTTGGACAAGTTTCCAGCACCACCCTCAGTTAGAGGATCTCGCTTGGACACCCGGCCCATCCTGGATTCCCGTTCTAGCAGCCCTTCTGATTCAGACACAAGTGACTTCAGCTCTGGATCAGATCATCTCTCAGATTTGATTTCAAGCCTTCGAATTTCTCCTCCTCTGCCCTTCCTGTCTCTGACAGGGAGTGGTCCAAGAGACCCCTTAAAGATGGGGGTTGGGTCCCATATAGACCAAGAGCAAGCTGCTCTGGCTGCAGTCACACCCTCCCCAACTAGTGCTTCAAAGAGATGGCCAGGAGCTTCCATGTGGCCATCCTGGGACCTCCTCGAAGCGCCCAAGGATCCCTTCAGCATAGAGAGGGAGGCCAGACTCCACCGGCAAGCTGCAGCTGTGAATGAAGCCACCTGTACCTGGAGTGGCCAGCTTCCTCCCCGTAACTATAAGAATCCCATCTACTCTTGTAAGGTGTTCTTAGGAGGTGTTCCTTGGGATATTACCGAAGCTGGATTGGTTAACACCTTCCGTGTTTTTGGTTCTCTGAGTGTGGAGTGGCCTGGTAAGGATGGCAAGCACCCCCGGTGTCCTCCCAAAGGTAATATGCCTAAAGGATATGTATATCTGGTCTTCGAACTGGAGAAGTCTGTCAGGGCCCTGCTTCAGGCTTGCTCTCATGACCCGCTGAGCCCAGATGGTCTGAGTGAATATTATTTCAAAATGTCTAGCCGAAGGATGCGCTGCAAGGAGGTGCAGGTGATCCCCTGGGTCTTGGCTGACAGCAACTTTGTCCGGAGCCCTTCTCAAAGGCTGGACCCCAGTAGGACAGTGTTTGTTGGTGCCCTGCACGGGATGCTCAATGCTGAGGCTCTGGCTGCCATCTTGAACGACCTATTTGGTGGAGTAGTGTATGCTGGGATTGACACAGATAAGCACAAGTATCCCATTGGGTCTGGACGAGTTACTTTCAATAATCAACGTAGTTACCTAAAAGCAGTTAGTGCTGCTTTTGTGGAGATCAAAACCACCAAGTTCACCAAGAAAGTTCAGATTGACCCCTATCTAGAAGATTCTCTGTGTCACATCTGCAGTTCTCAGCCTGGCCCCTTCTTCTGTTGAGATCAGGTCTGCTTCAAGTATTTCTGCCGGAGCTGTTGGCACTGGCGGCACAGCATGGAAGGCCTGCGCCACCATAGCCCTCTGATGCGGAACCAGAAGAACCGAGACTCCAGCTAGAGGCATAGCAGGCAATGCCCAGTGGCCGGTGGCACTTTAGGCTTGCAGTTCAGGCAGCAGCCTGCACCGCTACTCTGCCACTGGCAACCAGGGAGCTGGCTTCCCGAGGACAAGGGAAAATCGTAGTCACCTTTGCACTTGCTGAATCTGTCTTTGTTTCTGCAATAATTAATGCACAATGAGTTTTGTTGGGTTTTGTTTTCAGGGGGTGTAAAAACCTTGTGTCTGCTCACCCTCCAAGCAACTTTGTAGTTTTCCCAGATTTTAGTTTCTCATTTTGCAGATGAAAAGCAAAAAAGGAACTGTGTCCAGGAGGTATTGACACGGATGCCTACGTCTAGGTTTATTTATTAAAGTGCTTTTTTACATTCCATGCAATACTGATGGTGATGATGTGCAGGTCTCATTGGTTTCATTCTTGCAGTTGCCATACAGTGCCTTTCCATTTATTTAACCCCCACCTGAACGGCATAAACTGAGTGTTCAGCTGGTGTTTTTTACTGTAAACAAGGAGACTTTGCTCTTCATTTAAACCAAAATCATATTTCATATTTTACGCTCGAGGGTTTTTACCGGTTCCTTTTTACACTCCTTAAAACAGTTTTTAAGTCGTTTGGAACAAGAGATTTTTTCTTTCCTGGCAGCTTTTAACATTGTAGCAAATTTGTGTCTGGGGGACTGCTGGTCACTGTTTCTCACAGTTGCAATCAAAGCATTTGCAACCAAGAAAAAAAATTTTTTTTGTTTTATTTGAAACTGGATTGGAAAAACGGTGTTTGAGCGACTGCTCTATATAGTTTTAAATGATTTATTGCACCTTCTTAAGTTGCACTTATGTGGGTGGGAGGGTTGATAGAAGTTTTTAATCACAAAGTCACAGGACTTTTTTCTTTTTGTAACTGAGCTTAAAAAAAAGGGCTGCTTTTTTGGTGGGAGCAGATGAAGGCTCACAGGAGCCCTTTCTCTTAGAGGGGGCAAGTACCCTTCCTTTACATCTTTCATTTGAGGAATGTATGAATCAACAGTTAAGGTTGACTGAAATGCTACTGGAATTTGAAAACTTGACTTTTCTTTCCTTTTTTTTTTTTTAAATACCATTTGCCCCTCTTAGGGAAGCTGTGTGCCAAAGAACCAGTGTCATAACCCCTCCTCCCTCCTGCTGAGCTGATGTTGCATTGTTGCATATCCCAGCTACTCTGTGGGTTCCTGAAGCTGTGTGTGAAGTCTCTACCTCATTGTAGTATATGCAGGCAAGACTGCACTCTCCTACAGGTGTGTGGAGTAAGCTGTGGTGTAGTTTTTTTGGCACATAATAAACACGTTGCAGCAGAAAAAAATAAATAAATAAATAAATAAAAATAAAAGAAGAGTCCAAGTAAGTAATAACACTCTACCACAAATGTGTGAAATAATAATATAAATTGCTTTAATTTCATACTTTAAATTACATACATATATTCAGAGACTTAAAACAACTACTTTTTTAGAAAAATCAAATCATTCTCAGCACTTACCTGCCCAGCCAAGGATCCACAGGCACCTGCTGCTCCACTGACAACCATTGTCTGATTAGATCCGGCAACTATATGACCTTTTTCCTGTATCCCAATCAAAGAAGTCAAACCAGGCATCCCTATAGCTCCAAGAAAATATGAAAGGTGTCCATCCACAAGTTGTGGGTCTACCTAAAATAAAATACACATCTTTTAACATAATACTTGCAATTCCTGCTTTAAGGCAGCACGGTAGAGACTAGCTGTTATGGTCTGAACTGGGTCCCTATCCTCAAGTCAATATGTTAAAGCCCTAATTACCAATGTAACTGTATTGGACAGGGCCTTTAAAGAGACATTTAAGGTTAAGTGAGGTCCTAAGGGTGGTGCCTACATCAATAGGACTTATGCCCTTACAAGAAACACAGGAGAGCCCTCCCCTGCTCAAAAGACCTTGAGGCTAAAGAAAAGGTGTCTGTCTTCAAGCCAGAAAAAGAAACCTCACTAGAATCCAAATTGGGAACCCTGATCTGAGATTCCTAGCTTCCAGAATAAAAAAACATCTCAGAAGGCAAAGCTATCTAGCCTGTGATTTGTTATGATAATCCAAGCAGATATAATAGCTCACTGTGGTTTTTTAGAACAGTAAAGCATTCTTCAGTCTTGTTAAAATTCTATCCTTCAATCTTATTAAAATTCTATAATCTATTTTATAAAGAAT